TATTAATATGAAAAATATTTTCAATGCATGTATGTTACAAAGCTCTTGGGATACTACAGTCAACAAAAGTACAGGTCAGTCAAAGAGTTTCCTTATCCCCATTCTGCCCATATTTTTTTTCTGCAGGTCCACCACCTCTTGTTTTCTTCTCCTCTGTTATTTTAATTTCCTTTCTCACATTCCGTTCACTATTATGCAGAGCATCCTTTTAGGAGCTTCTTTTGCTTCACACTGATGACACATATTGGTAGCAAGAAACTGAAGCAACAGTCAGTGGACACTTGTAGAGATGGCGAGTTGTAAAATAATACATTGCATATTTAATACTTAGACAGAAGATGTGGACTTTATCTACACTTAATGGGTGGGGAGGCTGATTACTCATTCATAGCTACGCCACTTGTGAATGATGAGGTCACCCCTATCTCAGGAAGATAAATGCCATATCCTGTTATGACATATTCCTTTTATATAAAATTAGTTCTATTTTCTTACTAGTGAGGAATCAGTATAACTAAAAAAAATAAATAAATCACTTCACGATAAAGGCATTTTTCTACTGCAATTCATTATATATCCTATTTTTATTTTATTTTATTTCTGTTCTGTTTTGTTCTATCTTATCCTGTTCTATGTATAGTATTTTACTCTCTACCTAAATGATATCTGACTAAAGTGAAGCAAAAATTAGATGATACAATGAGGCTTTGTAGCATCCTTTCACACCTGTCACAGGCTCCTTCCAACAGCAGATAATGAAAATTCAAAGTCAAACCATTTAACTTTAAGTAAATGGAAATGAATTTCCAGAGAAGAGAGATTTTTTTTTTCACCTATGAAAGAAAAGAACAGTAGTACACTGACAATGCAAATAAAGATATAATATATAATTGTGGTAGCGAGGTACATGTAAAGCATAAATATTAAATGTTATTATATTACACACTGTCACGTGTTTTTAATTTTTATCTTTACTATGTTTTTGCATAAGAGAGGATGGTCTACAGTACATTGTTAGAAACAGCAGTACTCTTAGAATATTTCTTTGCTTAATCAATACTAAAGCAACCTGCAGAATATCTTACAATAGTATATGGTATTGAGACAAAAACTATGCCACCTAGACACCAGAACCTGTCAATAATTTCAGCAAAATGAGAAATAAATTAAATTAAGAATACCGGGGTTGATTCTCATCTAATTTACACTAGCATACTGCACGGAATTAATTTAAATCGACCACGGCATGTTGTAGCATTGGTGAAACACGTGGCGAATTTGGTCCACACTGCTTTATATGGCACAGAATATAAGCCTCATGACAAATATTTTCAACCATGTATAAAATAAGTCTCAGAAATTCTTACTGGATTTTACCATTGTGATTGATTTGGGAAAAAAAACCCAAAACAACAAACCACAATCAATCAATCAAAATGGACCTTTTTTCAGGTATGAAGGTTTAAAAAAAATTTCTGTCTTTCAAGGGCTATAAGAAATAAAATGCTTCTGTATTCTGTAACTATTCACAAACCTACCTTTGTATCCTGCTCATCTTATAAAGTACAAAAATAGTTAGTCAGCAGTTCCACTGACTCTGTGAGACTACTTACACAAGCAAAGTTATCAAGACTTACTTTTCAGTTACATTAACACTTAAATTAAGCTACTAATCAATAGTCATAAAAGATCTTCTGAAATAGCAAGAGATCCTTGCTCTGCCTATGCAGATGAAAAGTGGTCACTTTCGGGACTAAGCTGAAGCAAGCTTGACTAAAGGCAGGCTCTCCGTCCTGGCTGTCCCTTTGAAACATGAAAATCTGCTTAGAGTTGCCACTGTAGAGCAGAGTGACAACCAATGGATGGGGACTTCGACATGATTACATCCACTCTACTGCCTGGCCATACATTGACAGACAAAACTACTGTAATGGAGTGATCATTTGGAAAATGGCTACTGCCCACATTTAAATTCCTTTCAGCGTTATTCCATAGCCAATTAGAGTAGTAGCCCAGCCTATATTCATGCCAGTCTTGTACTATATTGTAAGAAAATGGAAAGAAGCAGCTCAGGAGTCTTTAATTATTCCTCCAGCCATTTATTGACCTACTCTCTAAAGACCATATACAGGCCTTCATCTGCATGCACAATTCCTATTGACATCACTGGAAGGGCTACAGACAGATGGAGGGTACTTTGTAAACCTTACATTTTAAGTATGTGGTAAGAGAAGGGTGCAGAATTGGCAGCCCTTTAAAAAAGTGAGCAGCTTTATCTCATATTGCTCTTTAAACGTGGAGTTCGAATAACATTTTTCCAAGCAATAACATCCCCCCACTTCTCTGCAAGCTATCTAACCTACACGTTTCTGTAAAGTCTTCATATTTAACACTCAAACAATTGATGTCCCTATAGTATAAACAGGATAGATAATGAATATAAGTGGGATAGAAAATTAATCCTACTTGCGAGGAAAGAGAGTCATAATTCACTTAGGCTTCTCAGCTCTTACGTTATGAGGTCTTCAGCTAACTCATGGGATCCATTCCACATCCCACAGATGCTCATTATGAATTCTTTTTATGTGCAACATGTGGGGACTAACCAGTTTCATATCTCCTGGTATTAGCTGCAATCCAGAGCATTTTGTATTAAAACAGAATGCAAACACAGATGCTATTTAATACAGAGGATTTGAATGCAGTCTCTGTTTTAACATAAAGTTGGTGTGTCTTAATTTGGTTTGGAACAGCAACGAAAAGAAGTCAAGATAAGAGGATATTGTTAGATTAGGAGCCAAGCTATGATTCCAAGAGGCACACAGTCGCTTGGGAAAAGGGGAGAGTGGTCCAGGTGACAGCTTTGATTTATGGAAGCAGAGGTTAAAATGCCTTTGGAGAGGTGAGGCAGCCGAGGACATGTGCCCCTTTCAGAGACGCTGTCGTAGCCTTTTCAACACCATGGGGATTCCGGAGTGCAACCTCTGTTCTGTCCCAAGCAGCTCTTCCTGGTACGACCCTCAGTTTCCTCAGAAACGAGTCAACAGCACAGCTGGTGTTTGTGTAAGGTGCACGAACACAGTGCACTACTTTCTCCTCTAGCTGTCCGCTCGCTAGGCTGTCAGAGTCCAGTTCTCCCCTGCATGCACGACACTTCTAGCTCCAGCAACCTGCTACAGGTCCGTGGCCTCGAGTCACCCCAAAAGCGGGGACATTTGGTGGGACCCTACTGGTGGAGAGGGTCACTTTTTCTCCCGTTGCCCTGCTGCCTTCTGACTCGGCATGCCGCTCTCCCCTCCTGCCCTCCGGGACGGGCTCCTCACCCCTCGCCTCCCGCTGCAGCTTCAGGGAGGGGACACGGAGCGCAGCCCCGAGAGCACCATGGCGAGGAGGGTTCGTGTGGCCGCGCTCCCTCCTGCAGCGCCCGCGGCCCCCACGCCAGCAGCAAGGCGGGGGAGCTG